TGAGAGTATTTGCTAAGGAATCAGCTGCTGTGGAACACCAAAAGGGCTTCACATTTGTTACACTATAAGATTACATGTAGGCCAGGCAGTGGTGGCGCATGCTTTTAATCCCAGTTTTTAAAAAACTACCTGTGTCAATGACCTCAAAAGAAACAGCACTCACCAGTCAGATACTTCCTCAGATGACGAAGTCATGCCATCAAAGTAACTTAGTCAGAACTAGTACAAACTCTCAGCAGTTCTCAACTATGAATTATAGGTAGCAGAGAATCTATAATATAATGTCTTCTTTTTCCCCCATTGGTTTTTCAAGACAGGGTTGCTCTATGTAACAGCCCTATCTGTTCTGGAACTTACTCTGTAGGCTGGCCTCAAACTCAGCAATCCACCTGCCATGCCCTGCCACCACCACCATCCAGGAACACTTCTAAATTCTTTCCTACTCAACCTTGTTCATCTGCCTGATTGATTAGAAGCCCAGCAGGAGGAACACCATGATAATCCTGAAGAAATAAGCCATAACACCAGCACTAAAGAAATGCCATCAGCACTATTACACAGTAAACAGTGAGCACTAGATGAGGGTGCTGCATCAAGAACAGAGTGGCCCCACCGCAGTGAAGAACACAGTCCCTCACCCTAACATTCCAAACTGTACTCACCAAGCCCAGCACTGAGCCAGGATCCCTTTCTTCATCTGTCCTTCCTCCCACTCACATTCTTACCCCTTAGTTCAAAAAAAAATGAGTCCTTGCAATTTTAGGGTGCTGGAGTGCAGCTTGGTGATAGTGATGACTCCCTAACTCATGAGAGCCCAGAACCACCCAAACATACCAAAGTGAAACCTTTTCTACCAAGGTCTCCTTGGTCTCTTTTGTTAATGCATAGTCCCCAAAACATGACTAAGAAAGTCACTTGTCTTTAACAAACCACAGAGACTTCTCAGGACAATCACACAGCCTCATCCTCATGAGACTGGCAGGTACCAGGTGCCAGGTCAGCATCAGCAAGGGCTCTGGCTTCTCTACTGCAAACACCATTAAATCTTTAAGAAAAACAGCTTTTGGCTGGGCCTGGTGGTGCACACCTTGGAAGGTAGAGGAAGGATTATCTATCTCTGTGAGTCTGCGGCCAGTTTGGACTATAAAGTATGTTCTAGGACAGCCAGGGACACAGACAAACCCTGCCTCAGAAAAACAAAGAAAAAGGTTTCTAATTCATTTCCACAGGTAAGAAAGTGGAACAACAGCATCCTGCAATACAGCCCATTCTAGACAAAGGATACGTGAAAACAGTCCGATCGATCGATCAATCGATCGATCGGTAGGTAAGTAGGTAGGTAGGTAGGTAGATAGGTAGATAGGTAGATAGATAGATAGATAGATAGATAGATAGATAGATAGATAGAGGAAACTAGGTTTGGTGACTCAGGTATTATCCCCTCTACTCAGGAGAATGAGGCAGGAAAATCATAGTATTAAAAATCTGCCTGCGCTACAGAGTAACTTAAAGGCCAGCCTGGGTAACTTAGTAATGCCCTGTCTCAAACAGTAAAAAAGGGAACCTCCAAAATAAATAAATAACAGAGTACTGCAAATACCCTCTGGGCTTGGATTTGTAGCTTCAGGGGACAAAGGCTGAGACGGTACAGAGTAGTTTCATTTTAAAAAGAAAACTTTTAGAATGAGACCCTAGTACATATTTTTCTATTTTTTTTCCTTTAGTGGTATTACTAAGGATTGAACCTAAGGCACCATACAAGTGTTCTACCACTGTATGTAGTATGTATCACTGGGCTACACCCCCAGCCCTAGTACAGTACTCTATATGAAGAGTGTTTCTATCCAGTGAGTAGAAGGGAATTCATTCATTAAAAAAGGGTTAAACATAAGCTTGCCCTTGCAAGAACATGAAGCATGTAAAGAACCAAGACTCAAGGACTTCGGCAATTTAAGGAGTCGGGGTTCAAACTCAAAGAGGCACTCAGGGAGTTTAGTCAACCACTGGCACAAGAGATAGAGGACATAAAGGATAGCAGGGGACAGACAGTCTGAGTTCTAATGCCCCGTCCACAAGCTGTGTGTCCCAAGTCCCTATCTGGAGAGTTAATTCAGAGCCAAGGAACCATAATTTGCTCAGCCAGCACACTACCATTTAGTTAAATCCCAAGAACACAGAAGAAAATGTTAAGAGTCACACTAAATGTAATGTCAGAATAGTGTTATGTTAAGAGTTTCCACTGTGATTGAAAAATTCCATCCTATAGGGAAGTTCCTTAAACAAGAACATAAATAACTCAAAACAGCTTCAGGAAGTCCCTGAAACTGACCTGATTCACTAGGACCCTCCCTTTCAGAGTAAAGAATAAAACCTGAGTCCCTCTCAAAAAAGCAGAGCCCAGCTGCAAAGATGACTTTGATACCTGACCAGCTTCCTGGAAAGAGCTTTAGACAAACTGAGGCATCTGGGAAGGACACTATCCAACCTGTCAGCTGCCTGCAGACCATGCAGTGTGCTCCAGGTTCCCAGCCTTGTGAACTGTCACCCACGCTGGGGTGAGCTTTGGTGATACAGCTGTCTTTGAGTCATTTCTACTTTTATAAGTAACCTTTCACTCACATTCCTTTGAGTAACCCCAATAAAACTTACAGTTCACCAAGTTGGACCTTGGCAGTATCCATTCTTTGTTGTGAGTATCTAGGATGAGTAGACAAGTATGCGCTGCCTCCCAGCGAAAGCTCTGTTACATAATGAAGAGTGCGATACTGAGAAGTACACTCAGAAATCCAACTGTTTAAATACATGCATTTAAAAGCAAAACTAGGTTGGTAAGATGGTTCAGGAGGTAAAGTAGCTTGTCATCAGCCATGATGAACTGAGTTTGATACCCAAGACCCAAAAAACACCAACTCCCAATGTGTTGTCCTGACTTCCACTCCCTTACCTTGGCATGTGTGTGCACACATGCACACATGCAGGCACACACATATAAAATAAGTAAATATAATTTTTTAAGTAATAAAAAAATAGTAAAATTCCCTTAAAGGCTAAGAAATAAGGCTGCATAAATAAAACAAAAATCATTCAGAACCAGAGTCTCTTAGCAAGCTTTCTTAGAAGTGTTTGATGTACCTCTCAACACTAAGAAGTCTCAGATTGAAAAATAACTCCTAACTGCTGGTGTCTTCTTCTGGGAGTGGGAAAGAATAGAAGTCTGATGGTGTGATAAGCCGCTTAACAAGTTTACAGTCAGTTTTTAACAGTAATCCCTCAGGGAAATGAACAGTCCTCCTTGATCCTTCTGAGGGCAATACAATATCCGAAGCTTCTGCGTCTGAACTTTTTCAGGATTTACGTTAAACATTAAGGAGAAAAGAGAACAACTTCTGATCTATCAGAGGCAGCCAGCACTTTGGATTTATAATGTATCTTTTCTCGAAACAGGCAAGAGGCTTCAAAAAAATGCAGTTAGGGGTCATTCAGATACTAGTTGACATTGATTCCCTAAGCAGAGCCCCTTCCTGGAAGACCAACCTAGCAGAGCTCTCAGCGTCAATTTGTTGTCGCTAAACCACCAGTTTATGCTTCACCTTGGAAAGGCTAACAGGATGCAACCACAAGTCTTTAATAAAAGGTGATGACCATGGAGAGCGCCCTTGAAGCTGGGCAAAAATGACTGAGCCCTGAAGGATCTCCTCTGGAAATGAGGGCAGCTATGAGGCGTTCCCCAGCACCAGTCCTGACCACGTGACTGCATTTTTCCATAAAAGGTGGGAGTTGTAATAGTAGTGTACAGAGTAGACACCAGCCCACTATAGCACATGGAACCCACCAACTCATTTTACAGACCTTCAAGAAGGTGCATACGAATCCCTCCTTACCAATCGGGGCAGACCTGAATGGGCGAAGCTAAGAAAGGTTTACACAGGATTACTAATTGATTTCCTGAGGCCTCACTACAGATCAGCACCTGGAAATAAGAAGCAATTTCCAAGCTGATTTTCCATACTTGAGCGACACAAACCACACACCACATCACAGTCCAAAAGCTTCATTTTATCAAAAAATGAAAAAAAAAAAAAAAGAGAGAGAGAAGAAACTCAGTAACCTAATCCAGCCAGCACAGGGGCTCTTCCCAAAGGGAAACCAGGCTGGAAACATTCCCAGCTCATGTACATAATTCACTAGGGCTCAGGTAAGATTCCATTTTGTAAGAGCTGAACTCTAAACAAAGTCACTAGTGGAGCAACATTCACACATAGCACCACGGTCATCCCTAAATAAGAACCTGCCTCTGCCACAGTGACAACTTCACAGTGAGAGGCTGCCAACCATGAACTCCTGGAAAGTTCTATCAGGGCTCAGAAGAGCTCATTATCTCTGCCAACCTAAACGAACCTGTCACACAGTGCTTGCGTTCACTATAGTCCAGGCATCACAACCTCAAGATTTTTTTAAATAAACAAACATGGGCCAAAGGGTCAAGAACAGGCAGTGTCTTTCAAGGCTGACAAGATTCTTGTCGGGGATTGGGGGAGGGGAAGGAGCATTCTGGATGTTTCTATTCTTGGCAAGAAGAGGACCTCCTGGTCCTAACCATCTAAAGACGCTAAAGCAAGAACATTTTCAGGAAGTTAGTATTGGCCCAAGGTTAAGGGGCTTCATCTTAGGAAGTGATGATGGGGACCAAGGTGTGGGGGACAGGAAGAGATCAGCGGGCATGGGAGGAGACGGTAGAAGGGCAGTGAGAAAGCATCGGGAAGGTATGGACAGTTAGGAGAGAAGAAAGGTGAGGATGACTACGGAAGGGAAGTGGATGGCTGAAGGGAATTCCCAAGAAAGCCTAGGCCGGCTAAGCGATGAAGGAAGGAATAGCCACTGATGCTCTGGAGGAGGCTCCGCCGGGGTTCCTCCCCACCCCACCCCCAGGTCCCTGTGGGCGTGTGCCCCTCTACGCGTGTGTGCAGACCCTCGGCACAGGCCGCAGCGCCAGCACTTACCCCACGACTCCCTGGTTGTAGTTCCTCCGCTTCCACGGGGTCCCGCTGTACACGCCCCCGCCACCGGCCGCCCGGCCGCCCCCG